ATATGGAAAGCAGAGATATATATAGGGACACACACACACACACACACACACACACACACATAAAGGGAAAGCGGAGGAAAAGGGTACATTAGAAGAGAATGGATGCCTAGCAACCAGAGTCTGTTAGCCTGACCAGGAACATCAATGAGGAGAGGATGCTGACCAACATGGGAGATGCTGGTCTCTGCGGAGAAGGGATAGACCTGCTTTAGAGCCAGTACCTTCTTCCTGCAGAGTTCACACTGCACTCCCATGCTGCTCTGAGGGGCAGAGCAGACCCAAACATGGCCCAGATTTGCCCAGGTTACTTCTGCCAAAGAGCAGAGACCTGTCCTTTTGTGCTAAGCAGACATTTATGCAAGGCCCTGCAGTTGCACCCTGGCTGTTGGCCACCCTCACCCTGTTGGCATTCTCGGGGAAGCCACACTTCCAGGTTGCTCCCTCACTTAAAGAGCGCTCACACTCATGGTGTACAGCAGGTATTTTCTGGTTCTGTCTGGTTCTGGCCCATGGAGAGGAAGCATCCCTCCGCTGTGCGTTCAGGCTGCCATCATGAAGCTGGGATGCACACACACACAGGCCTTGGTCCTCTGCAGTACTATCTCTCCAAGTCATTTGCCATGCTTGTGACCCCAGACGTGGGAAGAACTTTATAGCATTGGCCCAGCTGCTCACACGTGCCCTCTACACCAGCCTTCCACAAACCCTCCAGGGAGCTCAGCTCTTACATCCCCAGGACTCTGCTCACACTCAGTTCTAGCTTGTGGTAATGAGTCAGAACCCAACTCCCACCAGTCCTGGTCTGGCTCCAAAGTCACACAAAACTTCATTTTTTTTTTTGAGTCAGTATCAGGACTGGCTTTTCCAACACACAAACTATTAATAGTTTTACAAACTAAAAGATCCTAGAAATGGAAATTTAAAAATGTTTGTCATTGTAGGAATTGAACCCATTCAATTTATGTGTGCTATGCATTACACTATAACCTCTCACATGCAAATCCATTTCTGTAGCACTAAGAGGAAACTGGTGAGGTTACCAAGCAACATCCAAAAGCTTTTCACCAGCAACTACAACCCCGAGAGGAAGACACCCCAACAAGTGCAGAAATTCAGGCATGAAAGAGACCATGAAATATTAGTAACGTAATTCTCCCCCAAATTATTCAGTGTATTCAATGGGATTTCACTAAAATTTTGAGCAGTTTTTTTTTTTTCTGTCAGCCATCGACAGACTTACTCCAAAAATTATTTAAAAATAAACTCAGTGTCAATTTTGGAAAACATGAAGAAAGAAAAAAAGAGAGAGAGGCTTTGCCACCCATTTGCAAGACTAGCCATCGGTCCATAGTCATTGGTCTACGTTCATGGTCAGGACAGATGTGTGTGCTAATGGACCAGGAGGCTGGGCCCAGGTAAAGACTCACACAGGTGTGGCCAGCTGATTTCGCACAAAGGGGCAATGGTGACTGCATGGGGCCGTCTTTTCATCTCACGGAGCTGGAGCAAATGAATCTCCATATGGAAAAAACATGCCTCAGTTCTCTCCTCTACTTGGCAGACTAGACGAAGCAACCCCAGCCTAAGGAGAAAAACAGGAGGAACAGTGTGGTGTGGTGGAGGAGCCATGAGGACACGATCCACTTCCTAACCCACAGCTACAGCTGATGATGAGAAAGATACGAGACAGTCAGGCAAGCTGGCTCCTACCTGCAATCCTAGCACTTGGGAAGCTGAGACTGGAGCATTGCCATGTGTTCTAGGCCAGTCTGGTGCTCCACAGTGAGCTCCAGGCTAGCCTGGGCTATAAAGACTCTGTCTCAAACAAACAAAAATAAATAAAAAGGCAAGACACATCACGATACATCACACACACACACACACACACACACTGAGAGAGAGGAGAGAAAGACAGAGAGACAGATAGGCAGTCAGGCAGACTAATCAGGTAGGGGACACTAAACCGATGATTCACAATCTTGAAATTCACAACCATGAAAGTCTGAGAACTGGGAACCCCAGGCCTCAGTGCAGTGTGGGACAATGGTTAGATCCTGGCATAGATAAAGGACTAGGGGAAGCCATGTTGAAATCTATACAGAGAACTGGATTTAGTTAGTAATATAAAAATAAAATAGCTTTCTGCTCAGAGGAAGCCAGGAAAGCTTCTTACAATAAAAATATTTATGCTACAAGAAGTTAGACTCATATCTACTGTCAAGAGAACTGTATGACAGTTTATATAAGAAGCACCTCAAACAGAGAACAGGCTGAAGCCACTGATGTCCCATGATGTCACACTGCAGACAAGAAGGAGATCTGGACACACGGCCGGCCGCACACATCGCTGGCTCTCTGAGGGCACTTCAAAGTTCACCCTGTCGCACCATCTCCCCAAGACCCAAACTGAATTTCACAAAGGCAAGCCAATTTCAACTCTATCTCATGCATACACAAAGATCAACTCCAAATCTGCCACGTGGGCTTGGATGCAGCTTGGTGGCAGGATGTTTGCCTAGCATGCACAAGGCCCTGGGTTTCAGACTACGCTGCAAACAACAACAACAACAACAACAAAAGAAGCGAGGAAGGAAATCCATATGGAGCTAAAGATACAAAGTAAAACTATAAATCCCTAGAAAAAAGTATATTAGCAAACTCCCAGCCAGGAGGTAAAGCCAGGTGCAGTGGGGAGAGTTCTATAGCTAAATGGATCCTGGTTCAATTCCCAGAACCCACATGGCGGCTCTCACTGTCTGTAACTCCAGTTTCAGGGGATCTGATGCACTCTTTTGGCATCTGAGGGCACTGCATGCATAGGGTACACATACATACATGTAGGCAAGACAACCACACATATACACATTATAGAATAAAAATCTAAAAAAAAGAATTAAACTGGACTTTTTCAAAATGTAAAGCTTTTAGGTGGTGCAAGCCTGTGACTCCAGCCTATGACTGGGGACATGAAGAAAGCAAGTCTCTGAGTTCAAGGCCTTGTGGATGACATAGTAAGAGCCGGAGTCAAAAGACGAAGATCCAGAAATGTGGTTCAGTTGTAGGGTGCTGGCTTAGCCTGTATGAATCCCTGAGTTCGACTCCCGGCACCAACAACAAAATCAAAACAACTAACCAAGCCCATCTGATCCTTGAAATCCACCAATCAGGAGATGAACAGGATGCTCTGGACAAAGGAAACATTTATTGTGTTTCTGACAAAGGGTGTATGTGTGTGATGGTGTGTTAACTGCCAAGCTGACAGAATCTAGGATCACCAGGGAGACGGGTCTCTTAATTACATGAATTAAGATAGAAAGACTCATTTTAATTGTGGGCAGGACCATTCCCTGGGGAGGAGATTCTGCGCTCTGGAGAAACTGAGCCGCACTGGCAAACATGCATACATCACTCACGCTATCCTAGTCATGGATGTTACATGAGCAGCTACTTCAAGCTCCCGCTGCCTTGATGTCCCCACAAGACTGTGTGACCTTGAACTGTAAGCTGAAATAAACCCTTTCTCCTGCAAAAGCTTTCATCAGAGTGGTTTATCACGTCAGTGGGAACAGACGCTAAGTGTGCAGGAGCGGCAAAGAGGGTTGCAAAATAAATATAGAACAGACACTCACGGCCAGTAACTGTTAGGGAATCCACAATTAAAACCATGGCCCACTCCACTTCCACAGCCATCAGAGTGACTGTAACAGCTCATAGCGCTGAGAAGACAGCCAGCCGGGATAGGGTCCCATGGAGCCCAAGATGGCACAGTTGTGTCAGCTGTGTAGCAGGCTTTGATGGAGCCAAACGTACACTTTACCTCATGACCTCACAGTTTCACTCCAGCCCCACCCCTAGTCTTTCACAGCAGTTTGACTCATAAAACAGTGACCCAAAAGTCCATTCAGAAATGAATGAGAAGTACAGGGTGCGGATGACCGTTAACGGCTAACAGGCGCCATGGCCGGTTCTCACGACACCAGTGGTTCTCAGAAGCATCATGTCGAGTCACTTCCTGGGTCATTTTTTTTTTCCGGGAACTATGGAAAGGGCTGGGGAGATGGTTTGCTGTGAAGCGTGAGGACCTGCATCACATTCCCAGACCCCACATAAAGAGCTGCACACGGTGGCACATGCATGTAATCCAGAGCTGGAAAGGTAGACACAGGAAGATCCCATGGGGTTCACTGGCTGGCCAGCCTAGCCTAGTCAGTATGCAAGACCCAGGAGAATAAGAGATCCTGTCTCAAAGAGCAAGATGGATGCTCCCGAGGAAGGACATGACAGGAGAGTGATGTCTGGTTTCTATATGAATGTACACAGTCATGAATAAGAAACACTTACATCCCCCCACCCAACGCTTCACACAAACTCTGGGAAACACATCTACTGGATCGTCTCCAAAACTAAGCCAGCTGTCAAGCGACGTGAGAGAATGTTCACGGGAACCTCGGTTTCATAGCTGGTGACAGCAGTGTACAGCTTCTTCAAATCACATCCAGGTGCACACTTAAACAGGGGCATTTTACTGTGCACAAATCACATGCAAACAGACGCAGTCTTAAAAAAAATCCAAAAGGAAATAGGTTTCCTACAAAATCCTACGCCTGACTGAAGCACCTTGGGAATCCTGGTGGGCTGGGGGTCTGGGTGGGCGGCTCACAGGAACAGAGATGGGTGTATGCCTGGGAACTGAGGTAGAACGAGGTGGGATGACACCCAGTATCTAGCATGTTCCCTGGGTCAGGGTGGGAATTCGAGGGGAGGGCACCTGGACAAGAACATGAGGCTTCAGATTCTGTAGTGGGAGCAAGCTGTAGAACTGAACACTTATACATTCATTTCATCACAGGGAAAGGCTAGAACCTTCTCTCTCTCTCTCTCTCTCTCTCTCTCTTTCTCTTTCTCTCTCTCTCTCTATATATATAAATTATATTTATATATATAATTTAAATTATAATTAAATTATATATATAATTTAAAACGTAATAACAGGGCCTTACCAGATAGTTGCTTGACAGCCACAGGTCTCACCTTGTAAGGAGTTCTGCAAGAGAAGAGAAGGCACCATGAGTGGCTGCCAGAGGCGCCGGTGGCTGCCAGCGATAAGCGATCCCTGGGGAGCGTTACAATCCAGCTTGGTGATTTGTTTTCTTTTCCTGCTGCGGCGCTGGAGCTAGAACTCCAGGCCCTGCACGTTCCAAGCTCACGCTTGGCCACTGAGCTGCATCCTAAGGCCCCTTCCCCCAATCTGGCTGTTCTGAGTTCTCTCACTCAGGGACATCTAATTTTAAAAATCATATCATTTAACAAGTTCCTTTATAATGGCCTTTATATTTGACTAATGAAGCAAACTTCTGTCATCGATTAACTAAGACCCAAAGATACAGTATCGGGTGGGAAGAGAAGACTCTTTTGCCTAATTCTATCCCAAGCCAGTACAAACCGGCTCCCTCTCATTTCTGTTGAAGCTCGGAGGACCGTACTGGGGTCACCGACCCTGTCAGAAACACATGCCATTATTCACCAGCCTGTTTGAAGTCCTGCAGAGGACACTGGCTATTGGGACAGCAGGGGAAGGCTCTCCATGGATGTAAGGACCTCTAGCTAGGGCACGGGCAGGCTTCTGAGACCAGCAGAAGGTAGGCATATCCAGGGCTCACAGCTATCCTCAGGACAGACTGGTGGGTTGGCTGTTTTTTTTTTGTTTGTTTGTTTGTTTTGTTTTGTTTTGTTCTTTTGTTTTTTTTTTAACCCCAGCAGTTTGGCAGAAGTTATAACCTGATAGCAAGAACACTAGAAGGCTCGAGAGACAGCCCTCAGAGGTGTTGCTGGCTGGCTGTGCGTTAGCGACACAGGTAAAGTTCGAACACCTGATCCTAGGTCTCGCAGATGAAATTTGGAAGTCATGTTTCAAGATGAGCCATGGGAGCCCAGGGACCCTCAGACCTGTCTTGCTCATTCACCTGTGCTGTTCTGAGAGCCCAGTGTGGTAGGAGTGGGCAGTAATGGGCAATGATCTCCCACCTTCAAGTGCGAGACATTATTCTGTTACAGAGTTACAGTGTCTGTCTTTAGGATGGGCTACCCATTTGTTACCCAGAATGTTTTGGTCTGAATGCAAGCAGAAACGAGGAGGGCCTGGACAGAGACTGTAAAACACTCGGACCACAGGCAGAACTTCCTGGCTACATTCCACAGCCTCTTGCTTAGCCTTCACTCTGGGTTTTCAGCTCAGTAGAGCCAGTGCCGCGTCTTCTGGGACTGAATAAACCCTTGGCTCCATCTGAACTGAGTTATGGCTTCCTTGCTTCTCTTCCTCGACTCTGTTAATATAATGTAAATGAAATAACTCCTTCCCTTTAGAGGTGATAAATGGCCTTGGACTTTCACTGTGTATCTGTTCTGCAATCTAACTGCCTGGCCACTGGTCTTCTAGGACGCTTGGGGAGGCAGCAGCCTGGCGCCAGCTGGGCACCCACGGGGCATGTGTGCTGAGCAGAGGGATGGCTGTCCAGCCCTCCTTGTTGGGGCCTGGTTGCTTTACCCAGCAGAGAGCTGCACGTCTCACAACTTGGCTAAAATCGGAAACCAAAGATGTGTTTGTGTTATGTCAGGAATGCGCGGTGTCAGTTCTGGGCTTCTCCTCTCTCCATATGCTACGCCATATGCCCCCTCTCCTCACACCACTTAAGCATCTGTTCCCCTTCCCCAGCAAGAGAGCAAGAGCAGGGTCCAAGAGGCAGCGGTGAGAGCGGGACACCACCAAATCTAGAACATTTCTTGGTCAGAGAGAGGAGCCAGATGGGAATAGGTCCTCTGAGGGCAAACCTGTAGCTCCAATTTGGCCAGGCTCCAAGATGCCCGTTCTCACTTATTGGTCCTGAGGAACAGGCTGCTCACTCATCAAGTCTTGCCAGCTCCAAAGGAGAGCGGAAGCCGATTGGCTTTCCATCTTGCCGCTGTGATTTGGGGTTTGAAACAGGTGCAGAAAAACCAGCAGGCAAGCACTAAGCCGTGAGAGATGCAGACAGCTGCCCATTGGACCAGGATGGAGGTGGATGCTTAGAAACCTCCAAGTCTTGGGGAGTCATGGAAAACCCATCCAGTGAACAGGAAACAGGGAGGGAGGCTCCAAGTGTGTGGATGAGACTGGCACCCACAGTTGAGTCCCTTCCAACAACAAAAGGCTGGGACAGCAGGAGCTGACCATGTCCACGCTGAACAGCTCTGTGGTCTTCAGAGGTGGGGAAGGTAAAAACATAGACACAAGCGGTCAGGCATGCAGCAGAGGCGGCCCCATGAAAGGGTGGGTAAGGGGTGGGCCCATGATTTTTGGGGAGTGTGTAGAGGGGTCACAGAGACCAGGGAGTCTATCCTGTACCCCGAGAATGGTACCGGCTGGGGTCAGAGGACAGAACTTTCTGGTCACAGGCCTATACCGAGGTCCAGAGGAGTTTCAGAGGTTCCCCTTTGTGGGTGGTCCTCACCCCAGGCCGCACTCGAGAACCCTCTGCAGAGCTTTACAAAGATCAGTAAATCATAAAGGAGCCCATGAGTCAAGCAGATCCCTTTAAAAGATGTTGCTAGTGTCAATGCCAGCAAGAGCAGAAAGCCACTGCTCAGTTGACCTCGTTCATACTGAGCCACCAGTGTGGGTGAGTGGATGCATGTCTTTATGTCAGACAGGCACGGCAAGCACCAGCAGCCATGCCTCGAGGTCAGGCACCCCCATGGAGACCAGGATGGGGCATTGCCAAACCACACATGTCACGATGCACATGGAGTCTTCAGCAACCACTCCCGACTCTGGCAATCTCTTCCCAGCACAGAGGCTCAGGTCAAGATACTGAGTCTGTTCTGGGGGAGAAGAGCGAAGAAGAGATGCGGGAGGGGACACGTGCAGGAGAACGTGGAGGCCCAGGAGACAGCACGCTCACACCTCAGCAGGTGCTGTCCACCATGCCTGTGTCTGTCACTTCCCCATCTCCATGCACCCACACAGGAAACACACTGATACCCAACCCACAGCAATGTGGTTCCCCCAGGCCTAGGTCATTTGGTCATTTAGTCTAAGCCATGTTGTCCATGTCCCTGCCTCACCCAGCCTTCTAGATACCTCACTCTGTCTCCACATCCACACCACTGTAACCAGACACAGCACCAGACACCTGTCTGCATCTGAGAGGTGGTTTCCGGCTCCCACAAAGCAGTGTTCCTTCTCAACATTTGGGCGTGTGTGTGTGTGTGTGTGTGTGTGTGCATGTGAATGCATGTGTGCATGTATGCATGTGTGCGTGCGTGTGTGTGTGCATATGTGCATGTGTGTGATGTGGAAGTCAGAGGACCTTCCATCTTCATATGGGTCCTGGGCTCGAACTCATGCCATTACACTTTTGTACAAACGTTTTGCCAGCTGGATCATCCTGCCAGCCCCAGACGTTGCATTTTGAGTTCTATTTAGCTGAACTGCGCATATGACATGGAGACGCCTAGGACTTTCCAGACCACCTGGGAAAGTGGCATCACTGACATACAGGATCTGTTTGTCCCATGCCCTCCCTGAGGGTACAGATAACTGGCTCCAGCTATCTACTCATTTTCAACAGTAGCTACTGGCTATGCTACCCTTGACCTTCTTCTGTGCCTCAGTCTCCTTCATCCTTATGCACAGAATGTTCCAGCAAGGGCTTAAATGGGGAGACAAAGTCCCCAGGAAGTCCCAGTCCTCCCAGAGGATCCCCCAGGCTGGAGCTATGCTCCTAGTCTGGTTAGACTAGTTCCCTGTGTCTACACACGGCCGGCCTCCTCTTAGGGCCCCTACTGAGAACGGAGCACGGCTTCCCAAGAAGGCAGGAGTGAACCGAGCCTCCTCCTCCTGCTTCCCATCTGCCTCATCCCTTCTCTGCTGAAACTTCACACTTCTCAGCAGTAGTAAACAAAACCAAATTGCAAACTCCCCGGGCACATGGCATGAAAGCGTAAGGCACCCCAGGAAGAGATGCTTGCTTACCGCTCTGAGTTCGCAGGCATGGTGGGATCGATGGAGACCATGGCGTCATCGGTGGTCAGAAGGGAGATGGTGGTGTTCCTGCAAAAGACTCAAGTAAGTACTGCCCCCTGTACACATATGTGTACCCAGGTCTCATGTGACAGAGCCCAGAGGAACCAGGCTCGCCCTGAGAACTGGGGACCAGGTGTCCTTGACTAAGGGCAGTGGGTTGTACCCCACCCTCCCTTAGCAAACCAAGTGAAAAGGGTAAGTGTATTCTGAGAGCCTGCCAATTTTTAAATAATTTAAAGTGGGAATTGGAGCAAGGCTAATTTATTGAGTTGGGAGATGGAGGAAGCTGTGGTGCCCAAAAACTAACATAAATCAGAGACAAGAATCATCGCTTGCTTATCCGGCTGCTTCTGGACCCTGGCAGAGCCCAATGCGCAGGTCCCAATTTTCTCCCACAAAGTGGACTTAAATGGCCAAAACCGGTTTCCTCCGCAGCTTCTCACCCCTGGGGTTTCTGAAGAGCTGTTACCTCTGCCAAGTGAACTAAGCCCTCTGATCCTCAACTGTGAATGATTACTACTGTATTTTAATTTGTGTGAATAAGGATGAGTGCACGCTTGTGTGGGTGCGTGAGGCCAGAGGTCAACCTCCACGCATTCCTCGGGCAGCATTCACCTCGAATTTTGAGACAGGGTCTCTTAGTGGGACTGGGGCTTGCAATTCAGCTAGCCTACCAAGCTAGTGAACCCCCCTGCTCGCACCTGCCTGTCCCTGCCTCCTAAGGACTGGGATTACAAGTGTGTGCCGCCACCCCGGTTTTGATGTGAGTGTTAACTCGGGTCCTCACGCTTGCACAGCAAGCACTTTATCCATAGAGCCAGCTCCCCAGCGGCCTATGAATTCTTCAGATCAGTACCATGGAAATGAGACCCCACTCTCACAGGGTAGGGAAGCTGCCCACGTGGTGGCTGCTTTTACTGCACTAGATCACCTGCTGTCGCTTCCAGGACACGGCTTCATCACCCCAGTCCCTTCCTGCTGGTCTGCGAAAACCTGTGGTCATCCTTCCGTCCCTTTTGCCTCCACTGACGCTGACCCCAGCTTTAAGGTTCTCGCCATCCAGCGTCATGCCCAACCACCTCTCTTTTCCCCTGCTTCTTTCTTTAGTTGTCTCTGCGACAGAGTCTCACTGTGTCGTCCAGGCTGACCTCTAACTCGCAATCCTCCTGCCTCAACCTCCCAAATACCAGCATTACAGGCATATGCCATCACACCTGGCTTTTGGTTGTCTTTTCTAATGGAAAATCAGGTGTTAAAATGAATCACGTGTGCCTTAGCCAAAATGCTCAGGGTCAGAGAGTTTGGGATGTTTTTTTCTTCAGATTTTAGGCTACTACAGGGAGCAGACCCGTGTGTAAACACAACCCATGTCTTTCACGCTGGGTTTTGATTGACATCCCACGAGGTCAAGCACGGCATTCTCCACTTCCGATGTCAGGTCAGCGCTAAAACTGTTTCAGATTTTGGAGAATTTGGGGTTTGGGGACTAGCGAGGCTCAGCCTGTAATTAGAAAATCCCCATGCTAGTACAGACTGGATTTAGAAAAGAAACTGCGGGGGGATTTGGAGGGTTCTGTAGGATAGGCAACGGCTTTTAGCTCATCTCTAAAGCCAGCCTGTGTCGAACACTGATGACGACACCCCTGAGAGCAAGGGCATTTACAGCTATGTGAGGCCGGAGCAACTCCGAACACAGCCATCTTCCTTCCTCAACAGGGAGTGAACACGTGAGTGGAGAGAAAAGCCCAGCTCTGAAGAGGGGGCCCTGCTGAGTTCAACCTGGGGGGCTGGACACTGCCTCTGAGGAGGTGCAGAGCCGACTGAGCTTTCTGTGGGGTTTGTCTCACTGATCTGACCCCCACTTGCAGCTTCACCCACCTCTGGTCCACTGTGGGGATGGAGCACACAGGGGACACTCACCGAGGCAGGCCGGTGGCGATACAGAACAGGTCCATGATGTCGCTGGAGTTGCAGTACTTGCTGAAAACCACCTGCAAAACACAGAAGGTAGGCTGGGGAGTTGGCTCAGTGAGTCATGTGCCTACTCTTCAAGCCCAAGGATCCGGGTTCGAGCCCTAGAACTCATGTACGTAGCCAAAAGTCACATGCTTCTGACACCGGGGAGGCAGAGACAGGAGCATCCCCAGGGTTCACTGGTTAGCCAGCCTAACCTATGTGGTGAGCACCAGGCTAGTGAAGACGCTGCCTTGAAAAATGAGACTCATGGATACTGAGGAGTACCGCTTAAGGCTGACCTCTGGTTTCCCACATGCATGTGTCCACATGTGCATCTAATACACACAAACACACATGTGCACACATGCATTTAAACAAAAAAGCACAAATCACAGGCAGTGAGGTAGCAGAGCAGCGGCTGGTTTCCATGGAGATGCTGGGTTCCAGGTACCAGGTACTCCCTTGCCCTGCGGAACCGCTGTTTACTTTTCAAAACCGTGGGCTCGCTGATGTCACGTGGGCATCTCTTCATTTGATCAGCATGTATGGGATTGTGGAAAAGCTTCATTCCTTTGTTAGGTGAAAATAAATCGCTCGCCTGCTTCCCCGTGCCTGCAGTGCCCGCGGCAGTGTGCGGCACAAAGGTGAGGATGAAGTTCCAGCGTATGGCAGCACAGCCCGTCTTCAGCACTTCACAGAGTTGTCGTGGGAAAGGCAAATTTAAGTTTGTTGATTAAAAAAATGATTGCCTTTTAGCCTTTGGGGAATGAGGATCTGGGGCCGAATGACTACATTAAAGGGGGCCTCAAAATGACAAGAGAACAGCTGTGGACCACGAGTGTCACAGCAACATATAAACCGCAGGCACTGCACCTCTGCATCCGGCCCCGGCCCTGCGGGACAGTGAGGGCTTGTCTTGCATCAGCATGGTCTGCACAAGAGCCTGGACGTGAGCAGGTCTCAGCTCTTCTTCACTGGTAACCATCCTATTATTATTGCCATCCCTTCTTGTTAATAATATCCCTTATAACAATATATTAACATATTACATATAATAATAATCCCATAATTAATAGTTCAAACTTTATCATAGCTTTCTTTTTCCCCTTCCTTCCTCTCTTGTCCTGGGCATCCAACCAAGGGCCTTGCACGTCAAAGGAGAATGGTTTGCACTGAGCTGGAGCCCCAGCCCCTTTCTGAGACAGTGTCGCACTATGTGGCCTGGAATTGAATTGAAACCCCCCATCTCCAGCTCTGGACTACTGGGGTCACAGGCACCCCTAGGCCCCACTTTCATTCAATAGATGCTGCCCTTGGATGCTTCTTCCGGGCTTACTGCAGCAAATGCCCTTCAGTACTCTGCCCAAGTCCCTGTATGTGCTGTATGTGGAGGAGGACCCAGGCTGAAAATTACCTTTTGAGGCCCGGCAGGGTTGTTTTTATTTTTTAATTTTTTAATTTTTTTTTAAAGCTGAGTTGCTTCTTGCTTACTTAGAGATGGTGGAATGTAGCAAACAGAGGACTCTCTCCCATGAACCTGGCCTTTCTGGGACTAAGGCCACTTCCTGCATGCTGCCAGGCCAGCAATGATACAGAAACAGAGCATTTGTTCATGCCTTGATGATTCCGCCCTGTGTACCAGCACCAGGGGTGACCGTGTTAGCTGTGACCGCATTTTCCCTCTGCACTGTCCCTGATGTCTTCAGCTCCCTGCTGAGGATGCCATTCCAGCTCATCTCTGGTCACATCCTGATTCCAGCAGTAGCTTCCTCCCTGGTTCCATTCCTGTCTCATCCCATCCACGCCATACTTCTCTTTGCAGGGTCCCTGTGAGCTCCTGTCACCCGCAGGAGAGATCTGACTCTTTGCTGGGCACGCAAGGTTCCAGGGTTTGTCCCCTCCCAGCCTGTGCCCTGGCTAAGTGTCCCACTGTGGTCTCTGACCATGAACGCCCTTCTCCCAGCCCTCTTGTTCTCTCTTTATCCCACTGCTTACATACAGCAGCAGGCAGCATCTTTGGTCTCTACTGTCAGCAGAATGCACCTTTACCCAGGACCAGCCTTGTTTCTTCCATGACCACTCCTGGCACTAGCCTCTGAGCCATGGTTTATGATGCAAATTTTCTGGCGTAGCCAACCTGGAGTCCCGGAGTCAGCCTGGGGGTCTAGCCAGTCAGCCATCAAGGCATTTGGAGTCTTTTTTGAAGCTCACTCTGCCTGTTCAGTTTGGTCTTGGAGGTCTCACGCTCGTGTGAGCTGGAGGAGGGAAGCATGAAGACCCTTTCTGTAACGGTGCTGGGAGACTTCTAAAAAGAGGGGCAGGCAAGAGGCTTTTCAGAGTGTGCCCGCAGTCAGAGACGCAGTGGTCCCTGGGCCATCTCAGGGACACCATGCAGAGGATCTGGGCAGGAGGAATCTATCCTTTGCTTTAACTAGGCTCAGAGGGGTCCTGAGGGTGGGGCAGGCTACAAGATGTGGGCTATGGTGTTGTGGGCCAGCTATCCCTCTCGCTCTCCCCTACACAAATGCTAAGGGTGTCATGTGGCTGGGAGGGGCTGCTCCAGCTCCGCAGAACCCCTAGAACAGATCCTAACAGTGCATCCTCTGTGCAGCCAAGAGTGACTGACCCCAAGCCTCTTAGGGGTCACGTGGTGTTCAGTGGGGCTTTCTGTCCTCCGAGTTCTTGCTTCTGGAAGTTGGAGAAAATTCCCTGACTTTTGTTCTTATGTTACACTTAGTTGTGTTAATACATGTATGCCATGGTTGCCAGTTAAGGCCCTTTGCCTGCTGAGCCATCTCTCTGGGCCTCACCCACTTCTTTGTGACTCAGTTTTCAGTCCTGTGGAATGGGCCCACAAAGGCATCGGCTGTCACCTAGCGATGGCTTAGCCCTGAGTGACATTCCTTAAGGTTCTATGGTCAAACGTGTGTGATTCTGAAGATGTTCCGAGGCCACAGTAAAGGACCACACCAAACTGCAGACTCAAAGAGTCGAGACCAGACAAGTCTCCATGCCCACCTCCACCCAGAACTGTTCGCTGAGGAGCAGCATGGCGAGGCTGCCGAGCATGCCCAGGCTGCTGAGCACACCCAGCAGGATTCACCGCAGAGGACAGAGTGAGCCCCGAGGACATTGTGCGTCCCGAGCTCCATGAAGAATCCCTTTCGCTTCTTCCTAAGCATTTAAACAAACTGGTAATTTTTTAAAACTGAAATGAAACATTTTAAAATAATATCTGGTTTTTCCTGCCATCTCCGCCTCCTCCCAGATTCAGGAAGTTGTATTAAATAGTCTTCCTTTCCATGGCAACGGGGTTATCTGCAGAGGTTTCTCCAGAGCAGTGGGCAGCACCTGAAGAACGAGAGCTGCCATCATGGGGTCAAAGCTTTGAGATCCTCCAGGGGTTGGGGAGTGGCCTGCTTCGTGGGGTCACAGTCGACCCAGTGAAAAGAAAAGCCTTGGGTTCTGGTAGGTTCTGGAGACTTTGAAAAGAGGGGTTCACCTAGATTTATAAGGACTGTTGATGATGTGTGAAGGAAAGAGAAATATTTTGATGCTTGGGCTTCCAAAGATAGGATGGCAAAGAGCTGACATTTTTCAAATCTGAAGGGTAGGGTCTTTATCAGGGACAGTGGCATTTGAGAGGCAGAGGCAGGAGGAGCACGAATTTGAGGTCAACCTGGGCTACATGGTGAGTCTGGTACTTGCCTGGGCTATGTAAGACCTGGTCTCAAAAGAAAAAAAAGAAAAGAAAAAAGAAAAAAAGGATAGGTAAATGTTTTATTGATACTCACAGGAGACCTGCTCTTTTCTGGATGGAGACAGAAGAGAAGGGGGTTAGTGGGTGAGGGGAGACGGGAGAGAGGAACTGGAAGGGGAGGTGGGGGAGGCTGCGGCTTGGATGTAAAACAAATATAATAAAATAATAATAATAACAACAACAACAACAATAATAATAATAATAGAAAAGGTAAGCCTTCCAGTCAATCAAATGGAAGGCCCTGTGGCACCTGACACCCTTGCTGCTCCGGTGCAAACAGCTGAGCTGGAGCTAGGGTGACGCCTTTGTTCTGGGATCAAGAACCACCTCCTGATAGCATTTCTGACAAAGGGCCTAGGGAGGCTGTACAGAACCTTGAAATGAGAAGAAAGACTACATGGGGTGCCTCAGCAGAAAGCACTGTGAACCCACATTCCTCCACTCTGCGGCTCTGCCAGCTTTTCCGAGGCCTCTTTTGAGCTGGCTGCAACATTAGTTGAGCAAAAGCCTCCTGACACACGGACATCTCATGAGCAGGAAAGTCACGACTTTTTGTTGCTAATTAGTCTCCAGCAGGGCCAACGCCAGGAGAGTCCAAGATGCCAGAGGGCAGGGTGCTGCTGGGATGGCTGGAGCCAGGAAACACCCAGCTTGAACCAACTGTCACTGACTGCAGAAACCGAATGGCTGCAGTCCGTGCCCATGAGACCCTCAGGCAGCCTCATCAGGAAGGATGCGGGGCTGTCTGTCTACACGATTCTGTAGGTCCTTTGTTTGTTACCCAGAAACAGCGAAAGAAAAAAGAAGTGGAAATTTAAACAGGATGCCAAGGCAGGCAGATTCATGGGAGTTTTCAGCCTGCCATCCAGCTTTTGGAGGCAGATCAGGGCTGGGGCTCATAAGCAAGCAAGATTCTCCATTTCATGGAAAATCGCCCCCAAATCTTTGATGTGGCTTGACTAGCAGCACTGGGATATTAAAACACTGGCAAGAGACATAAACAAAGAAAGTAGAAGGCTTCTCTTCACCGGGTATTTGTCCTTCTCTTTCCCAGCTGGGACCTGGGAATGTCACTGAGCAGCTTTGTCCGGGAGCCCGTCCCCATGCTGTCTCCATGCCGCCCACGGAAAAGAATACAGACACTTGCCAAGAGTTGGCGGAAGCCAAGCACAATTCAAAGAAACAGAGACACTCGGACGTATGTGAGCTCCCATGGGCCCAGCCAGAGCTGAGGTTTCATCTCAGGCCACCCGACCATGAGGGTAGTCACCCTGG